GGAATAAAACTAATTATAGTGTAAAATTTAGTGTCAGTGCTGTAGCAGAGTATTAACCAATGTTCTTACAGCTCTGAATAAAAGGCATGGCACAAATTCAATTCATTGCCACCATGGAGTTCGAATTTATAGTGCATAGAGCAGAAAAGAAAGTGAAAAATAGCACACAGAAGTGCTTGCAACTTTCAAAGCCTCCAGAGAGCTTTACATAGCTTTGTTAAAGGATTGCTTTTTATTCCATTTCTTTCACAGTCTTAGCAGTATAGGCTCTAGATTCAGAGAGTGTATTATTTTTAAGACTTTTCCCTTATTGACAAAACAGTGCAGACTTATATAGATGTTTCCATCCGCTTCCTTGTTTCTGCTTTCTGTTTCTATTTCCTGATTGTTCGTTTGTTTGCTGTTTTGATAAGTTATACATACACTGTATGGAAAGATTTCCAGTTCTAATCTTTCACGGAGGTTCATCTAAGCACAGATTTATTTACAGAACCAAACCTGTCTTCTGTGGGAAAGATTTAAGAGTGTGAGATTTGCACTGAATGAATCTCTAGGACACTATTCAATGTGCTGGTGGTCTGATTGACAGCTAAGAGAGACATCCTTGTTTCAACATCTCAGTGTAGTTGCCCGATGCACTTTAGAATTATATGCCTTATTAGGGCAATCTTATGAAATGAGACAAAAATAGTCATCAGATATTCAACTTCTTTGAGTATACAAACTTGAAAATATCAGTATCCCTTCATGAAAATTGTAACAGGTGCCATTAAAATGATTTTTTTTTCTTTACACTGAAAAGCACTGTAGGATCAAATAATTTCCTTTCAGGACATGCAGTTCAGCCAAGATAAGTTCCTCTGTTCATCATCAGCACAAAACAGCAGTGAATATGAATCACTGAATTAAATCTTATTAAATTGTAAGAGCTTTTCTTCCAGTAACACTTACACTGCAACACTTAATGCATAACCCAAAAGAAGTAGAATAATTGAATTGGTTTAGAATGTCAGATCCTTTGAAACCATCTAAACATCACTAATCACTAATACTGTCAGGATTTTGAAATTCAAGAGTGTATCTTGTTTCCCTTGGGACAAGAACGTTAAAAATAAGTTTGGTTCTTGACTTTAAAAGTTAATTTAAGAGTAGTGTCCAGCACAGAGGTTACCCCTGGTCCCATAACAATTTCAGGAAATAAAAAATTGGGCCTGTACAAAAAGTGTGGCTAATATATAATCAGGGGAAAAAAATCTTGTTTATGTTATTCATAGTTTTTCACTGCTGAAATTTGCTATTTTCAAATATTTATGATAATACTGGGACATTGTACTACTGGTATCATTTAAACAGGCTATTTGAAAACTGCTATATAGAACAGGAACTCTTTTGCCTCTATTTTCTTTAAATTAATCACTTTTGGTTTTGGCTTATACTGAAGACATGCTTAGAAAAAAATCATAAGGCCATATTTTTGAAAAAGTTTAGCTCCCAGCAGCTTCAGTTCAGGTACCTACATAAGTGTCTGGATTCTTAAAAGTGCTTCTAGGTGCTCAGCACTTTTGAAAATTTGGCCACATATTTAAATATTTAGATGAGATATGAGTTCTTTTTTTTTTTTAATTCAGGTCCTAATTGTGGGTGGTGAGCACTTGAAAATCTGGTCCTTAAATGTAAAGGAGACTCTTCCAGGGTCCGATCCCCCAGCTCCAATCACACTTTCATTATTTATCCACAGTGGAACAGTTTCAACAGGAGAGACGAAAGGAACCACACATAAATATATCCCATAGCTCAATCATTAGAGCACTCTCCTGAGAGGTGGGAGACTCTGTTCAAATCCTTTCTCTCCTTCTGGCAGAGAAGGGGAATTGAGCATCCCAGGTGAATGCTTTAACCAATGGGATTAAAGTTGTAAGTGGGCACCATGTCCTCTTTGGCCATTTTGTGTGGAGCCAGACAAGTGCCTAACTCATTCCCACTCAAGTGCCTTAGGTGCTTCAGGCAGCTTGTTCTCATTCAAAAACTGCTATGTAGAGATAAAAGAAAAGGAGTACTTGTGGCACCTTAGAGACTAACCAATTTATTTGAGCGTGAGCTTTCGTGAGCTACAGCTCACTTCATCGGATGCTGTAGCTCACAAAAGCTCATGCTCAAATAAATTGGTTAGTCTCTAAGGTGCCACAAGTACTCCTTTTCTTTTTGCGAATACAGACTAACACGGCTGTTACTCTGAAACCTATGTAGAGATAGGTGCCTTCCTGCAGCCTGGACTTAGGTTACTATCTCCATCAGAGAGGTTTACAGCACACCCCTTTGTTAGCATCTCCCATTGGCTAGCTTAGGCAGCTTCCCACCTAGCTTGCTATATTGTGTGGATCATATTCTGAGGTGCCCGTCTCTCCCCATTCATTGTATAGGAGCATAGGCGCCTAATACACCTTTGTGGATCACATCGTTCCTGTTTCAGAGTAACAGCCGTGTTAGTCTGTATTCGCAAAAAGAAAAGGAGTACTTGTGGCACCTTAGAGACTAACCAATTTATTTGAGCATAAGCTTTCGTGAGCTACAGCTCACTTCATCGGATGCATACTACCAATTGTTCCTGTGATTTTCTATGTACTTACAAGTTAGGCCGTGTTAGACTTACCATTGCAATGCCTAAGTCCCTTTGTGGATCCCACCCTTATTGCCTAGCCTGGCCCAAAGGTGAGCAATGGTATGCAGACAAAGAAATGTGGTCTATGCATGCATCTGCCCCATTGCAGTTATGGCTCTGACCTGCAGTCCCCATATAATTCATTCCTTCTGCTAGAGAGATATATCGAGGGGGGGCAGTTTCTTCAGACTGTTTGCAGCAAGAATCTGGGCTAACATCAGTGCTGGATTCGCAGCATTACAGATGTACCATGTTGAGAAGCTATGCCATTTTCCAAATGCAAGCTTGGATTTGCTCTTATAGACATTAAAACAGAAAATGTGCACACACCCGTATACTGTGGCATAGTTTGCCCTGATTCACACGCCTCAGGTATCATATGCTATATTCTAGCTGCTCCCAGAGAAGTATTTTGTTCAGCATTGAGCCGTCTTATATCTCTGTAGCTCTGTGGTCAGGTACTGTGGGAAGGGGAAGGCTGTACCTGACAAACAAAGAGCATGCATTGCAAGGTAGCCACCTGGCTGCCATGAAGAGACTGGGAAGCCCATTGCCTGACAATGCAGTTCCCTGCAGCTGCTGGTGTCAGCATAGCGTAACATGCACTTGGTGCTGTTGCATAGGAGGGGGATCACACTGGATGCACACCAGGATGACCCTGGCTCAAAAGCGTCCACGAAATGCCCTCCTGCTGTGAGCTCCCATCTTGCCCTTGAAAAGCTCAAGAAGCTAGATGACAATCAATTCTTATTTGAAGCAGGAGACTATAATCACCAACATTTCACTTGCTTCAGCGTAAAAAGCTGCAAGGCCAGGTGCAACAAACTACCGCATTGGTAGTCAGCAAAAAAGGAAGCTGTCCACCTACCAGGGGAGTTAGAGACAAAGAAGTATCTGTCTGGCCCATCTTGAGAGCTAGAGAGAAGAGAAGCCATGAAACCTAATTTTCTAAAACAAATTGTCAATGTAGCAACACAAGAACTTATAAAAAGAAAAGGAGTACTTGTGGCACCTTAGAGACTAACCAATTTATTTGAGCATGAGCTTTCGTGAGCTACAGCTCACTTCATCAGATGTTTACCATGGAAACTGCAGTCGCAAAAAGAAAAGGAGTACTTGTGGCACCTTAGAGACTAACCAATTTATTTGAGCATGAGCTTTCGTGAGCTACAGCTCACTTACATCTGATGAAGTGAGCACTGCAGTTTCCACGGTAAACATCTGATGAAGTGAGCTCCTGCAGTTTCCACGGTAAACATCTGATGAAGTGAGCTGTAGCTCACGAAAGCTCATGCTCAAATAAATTGGTTAGTCTCTAAGGTGCCACAAGTACTCCTTTTCTTTTTGCGACTGCAGTTTCCACGGTAAACATCTGATGAAGTGAGCTGTAGCTCACGAAAGCTCATGCTCAAATAAATTGGTTAGTCTCTAAGGTGCCACAAGTACTCCTTTTCTTTTTGCGACTGCAGTTTCCACGGTAAACATCTGATGAAGTGAGCTGTAGCTCACGAAAGCTCATGCTCAAATAAATTGGTTAGTCTCTAAGGTGCCACAAGTACTCCTTTTCTTTTTGCGAATACAGACTAACATGGCTGTTCCTCTGAAACAAGAACTTATGCATCCCAATTGCTAATCAGGACTGATGACACGAGTGAATTTTATGCCTTGCATCCTTGGGACAATAGAAGTGTCTTGGTCTAAACAGGTTGAAGTTACCTAACTTGAAAACAAATGCCAGATAGCTACTTAAGCATGAATGTGCTCTAGAGATTATCTGTTCCAGTCTCTCTGCAGATCATGTGCTGAGCAAAAATGACAGCTAGCTTTTCGATTCCCCTTCCTACTGGCATAACCTGTAACTGCTGTGCAACACAAAGTGTTCTGCTACTACAGTGCTGCATACAAGAGGGGTAGTGATACCAAATTTCAGGCCTGCAACTTATACTGAACTCCTGCCATGACTAAGTCTAACAACCAAAGAAGTGTTCAACGATTCATTGAAAATGATGTTTACTGACTGGTATGCTGACCACATCACAAAGCAGTTAAAGAAAGGAAAAACATCTGAAGAAATCAATTTTGATTTATCCATGTTCTACCAAAAAATCAAATGTGCTCAGCGTTTGTTGGGAGTGCAGTTGCAAAAGCAATTTGATCACATAAAGGGAGTGTTTTAAGAAATTCGTTTCAGCGGAGTTTAAAGAAGCTGTCAAAAGTGACTCAGTCAGTATTACTCCGTGCACATACTACCTATTGCAATGAATCCTCCCACACCAGTAGGAATTAGGAGTAACTCCATCAAATTCCAAATATGACTGTGTGGGTCAAATTGAGCTTGCCTTTTCCCTGTGAGTGGTCTTATTGCAATAACAGCCATTTCAGCGCTTACACACCAGGGATCCAATCTTCAAACGGGGGAGCCAAAAAAGGTAGGATTATCAATCCATAGTTAGGCATCTAAAAAAGAATAAAATTGCCTGATTTTTATAGGGATTCAGCACTTGCAACGCCCACTCATTTTAGGGGCATTGGTGGGTACTTGTCAGCTCTGAAAATCAAGCCACTTTTGCTTAGGTTACTATGGTTTTAAGTATGGATTTATTTAACGTTTCTAATATTAAGCTGCGAAGTTGGAAGGTTTTGAACATAAGTCCTTCTTTAGTCACCTTATAACCATTGTAAGCATCTGTATATTGATTCAGTTACCTGCAGTAAGCAGGGATCTTAGTACTCAAGTCCAAAAATTGGGCCTCAAATACTTAAAAAGCAAACTTGATTTGGCCTTTTATGTTTTAATGCAGTAATAAGGTAACTGATAGAGGCTATGCCATTTCAGAGAGAAACAGCTAAGCCACTGCACTAGAAATTTCCTTCCTAATTTATTTAAAGAGAGAAATGATCTTATGAGATGTTTATTCCAGTATTTTAAAAGAGTTTATTGAAAATTGAAAGGCTGTGCTGCTCTTTGGCTTTTATGTTGGCAGTTTATTTTAATTGGATACAAATCCATTAACTAACAAGGGAATTGAGAACATAATGTATGTCCAATGTGCGTTGATTTTAAACATCTGTTTGTGGTTGTTTTATGGTGTTTCAGTGAAAGGCTGTGTGGTTTTGTGGAAACAACACATTCCGTTTATAAACTGCCTTCATATTTTATTTGTAGTTGAAATGATCAAAGGCCCTGATTCTGCAATGTGATGCTCCTGGGAGAACTGTAGTTGACTTCTGTGGGGTTCCACTGGCACAGGGGTCTATGCACATGCATCACATCGCAGGGTGAGGACCTAAGTTCGCTCATACTACGCAATGTTGAAATAATGAATTTCTAACAACTTATTTATCAATGTATTGAAAGTGTTTTTTGGTGCCAATTATATACAGTGTTTAAATGAAGTACATTTCACCCATTTTTCAAATGAACCTGTCACAACCCAATGGCCCCCTTCCTCAGGGGGTCCCTTGGGGCGGCAGATCGGCATTGTATGTTGCTAACGCTGTTGCAGGCATTGCAAGGCATTTTGGAAAGGGTTAAAGGTGTGAGTGTGAAGTGAAATATTCCTTTGCAGGTTGCGAGAGGCCGAAGGGGGAGGAAGAGAGAGACAGGAATGGGTTAAGTCGACGCTCCAGCTAGGTCCGAAGATAAGACACTGACTCCAGCTCAAGGCCACTGCACACAACTGACTCTTGGCTGCCTGCCAAGAAAGACAGGGGCCTGGATTTCAACCCGACCAGCCGTGAGAAAGGAGGATTCAGCTGAACAGAACTGCAGGGGCTGCAAAAACTAGTGAGACAGTGAAGGCCAGCAAGGGGGAAAACAACGTTTTTTGTGTCCCTGAATCCGGTGTGTTTTGGGTAAGCTGAGGAAGCCACGGAAGGCCAGTTTAGACTGGTACAAAGAGCACGGGGGACAGAGGTCCCTGAACGAGATGCCCCCTAGAGACCCCAGGACTTAAAACCCTCCCGGGAGCTGAAACAAATCGGAGATCAACAGCGGACCCTGGACGACCTGTGCACAAGACAGAACTCTTGTCCTCCCTTCCCCCCTCTTCTTTTTACGTTACACCCAGGTTTGGGGCAGGTTGGTAACATAAATCTATCACAAACCCATACGGTGAAGAAGAAGTTACTCACCTTGTAAAATAACAATGTTTTTTCAAGATGTGTGTCCCTATGGGTGTGCTTGCATCCCTGCGCTACTTCAGTAGCAGTGTCTGTTAGGCCTGCACATGCGCTGTCTCTCGTCATGCTGCACCACAAGGCTAATGTGTGCAGGCCAACCCCTCTCAGTTCCTTCTCTACTGCAAAGTCATAGACAAGAACTCCAAAGTAGAGGGAAGGAGGGTGGGTTGTGGAACACCTATACAGACACACATCTCAAAGAACCATCATTACAGCACAAGGTGAATAAATTCTTCTTCTACAAGGGGAGTCCTCATGGGTGCTCCCCTGTAGGTGACTCCTGAGCAGTATCCCTTCAGGAGGTCTGGGACTTTAGATTTGGGTCAATTATAGATGACAGCACCATGGAGCTGAAGATGGCCTTGGAGGTGGCACCCCCAATGATCGCATAGTGTTCTGGAAAATTGTGGACTGATGCCATGTCATCCCTCTACAGATCTCTGAGATAGGGGCATTCCTGAAGGAGGCAATGGAAGAAGAGCTCAATCTTGTGGCGTATATACAAGTAGAGTCAGGAGGGGTCATGCTGCAAACTTGGTAATATTGTCTGATGCAATTTGAGACCCACTTGGAGAGCCTTTGGACTGATATTGCTCAGCCTTTGGATCTTTCCACAATGGAAAGGAAAAGTCTAGGGGACTTCCTGAAGACCTTTGTCCAGTCCATATTGAAGGCCAGAGTTCTCCTGACATCTAGGGTATGTAATATAGCCTTCCCTGTTGTATTGATGAGGCTTGGGGTAGAAGATTGGAAGGTGAATCAACTGATTCATGTGAAATGGAGAGGTTACCTTAGGCATGAATTTTGGATGTGGCCTGAGCATAACTTTGTGTGGAAAAAATACTGTATAAGGGGGATGTGCCAACGGAGCTGTTATCTTTCCTATTCTCCTGGCCAAGGTAATTGCTATCAGGAAGATTGTTTTCATTGATAGGTATATCAGCAAACAGTCAGTCCTTTCAGTACCAGGTTTAGGTCCCACATAGGGGTAGGAAGTTAAGGTTGAGGGGAAAGGTTTATTATACCCCTGAGGAATCTTTTAGTAGTTGGGTGTGACAGGACTGAGTACCCTTCTACAGGTTGGCGGAAAGCTGTTATAGCTCATAGGTGAACCCTAAGAGAGCTTAGAGATAGTCCTGACCATTTTATTGTCAAAACATAGTCTAGGGTATGCAGAAGAATCGTGGATGTTGGGATGATTCACTGGGATGTGCATCAAATCTGAAACCTGGACTATTTCTGCAGGTGAGGACATCCTGTTGAGGACTTCCTACTGTGTAATAGTACCTCTTGTACCTCCCTTGAACAGGAGCTTTCTAGGTGTTGGAACCAAGCAGAAACCATGCCTTGAGGCAGAGAATCCCCAAGTTCAGATGTAGGATACGTCCTCCATTCTGTGAGAGGAGGTGCAGGATGGCCAGGAGAGGGATCAATGGGCACGTCATGAGCTGTGCCAGGTAAGGTACCAGATCTGTCTTGGTCAAGTAGGAGCAATCAAAATGACATGATCTCATCCCTTTTTATTTTCAGCAGGACTTTTGACAATAGGGAAAATGGAGGCAAGGAGTAGAGAAAGTCTTTGTTCCGAGGAGGAGGAAAGCATCGTCCAGGGAGTGTTGTCCCATCTCCACTCTTGAGCAGTAGCATGGACATTGCTTGTCCAGGTGAGTAGCAAAGAGGTCTGTGGATGGTGTCCCCCATCATCTGAATAGGTTGTAAGGCACTGTTGGGTGTATCTCTTACTCATGGTTGTGTGGCAATTTGTGACTGAGACTGTCCTCTATCAAGTTTTGTGTGCTCGGGTGGTACGCTGCAGACAGTGTAATGTTGTGGGAGATGCATCAATGCCATAGTCTCATTGCTTCTGCACACAGGGAGGGCAACCTGACTCCCCCTGCTGATCGATATAATACATACAGGCTATGCTGTATGCCAGAATCTTTGTGTGTGATTTTGTGATCAGAGGAAGAAAATGGGTGCAGTCATTCCTGGTTACTCTTAATTTGAGGAGATTGCTGTGAAGGGATATCTCTGCAGGTGACCATTTGCCTTGTGTCATGATGCTGTTTAGATGTGTGCCCCACACTACGAGTGATGCATGGGTAGTGAGGAGCAATGATGATGATATTTGCGAGAAGGGGACCCCTTTGCAAAAGTTGGCTTGGTCCTTCCACCAGTTGAAGGAGATTTTGATCCTGGTGGGTGGTGACTTGCGTTGAGATGAGAGGGCATTGGCCTGTAACAAATTGTGCTTGGCCCCTATAAATTCCAGGCATTGCACTGAATTGAAGGTTGACTTCTGGGTATTGATCTGTAGACATAGTTCTGTAAACAAGTATATCATAGCTTCGGTGACTTGGTGAGCCTCTCGGAGAGATCAGGCTCTGAGGAGACAATCATCCAGGTAAGGGTAGATCTTTATCCCTTGAGAATGTAAATGAGTGGCCACCACTGAGAGAACCTTGGAAAATACTCTCAGAACTGATGATACTCTGTACTGGTAGTGGTCATGTCCCAGAGTGAATGTGAGGAATCATCTGTGAGCTGGTACGATTGAGATATGAAAATAAGTGTCCTGGAGGTCAAGGGCTGAAAACCAGTCTCTATGTTCCAACGTTGGAATGATCATTGATAAGATGACCATCTTGAATTTTTGTGCCTTGACAAACTTGTTGAGAACTCTGAGGTCTAGTGTTGGTCTCAAATCTCCCTTTCTTTTGGGTATTAGGAAATAATGAGAGTAGAACCCTTTGTCTCATTGAGGTACTGGTTCTATGACTCCTAACTGAAGGAGGCGATCTATATCCAGTCATAGTAAACTTTTGTGAGAAGGGTCCCTGAAGAGGGATGGGGAAAGGTGTTGTGGAGGAGATAGGGAGGTAAAATGGATGTAGTATGCAGTTCAAATGATCTCTAAGACCCATTATTCCAATGTTATGTGTTCCCAGGCACTGCAGAATGCCACAAATCAATGACCAAATGGGTGAGGAATGATGGTTGGCTGTGCCAGTCAGGGGGAGTGGTCTAATGGCACCTCGATGTGCCCATCAAAAGTGGTACTTAGATATAGGGGGCTGGGACAAAGATTGAGGGCCAGATGGTTTGCTTTAAGGAATTTCCCTTTCTTTCTTTGTGGCTCATAGTGGTGCTGAGGCTTGATACTGAGGCACATGTGGTCTATGCTGGGATTGGGGACTAAATCATCGGTGACTGTAGGATAGCCCTGGAGTCCTTCAAGGTGTGAAGGGAGGCATCAGTTTTCTTGGTGAAGAGCTTCATGCCCTCAAATGGAAGGTCCTCAACCATGGACTGTACCTCTTTTAGGAAGCCCAACGAGTGGACCCATGATGCTCATTGCATCACAATAGCCATGGAGAAGGACTTAGCTGCTGTGTTCGCTGCGTCGAGGGCAGTCTGAAGTGATGTCTTTGCCACTAATTGACCCTCCTGGATAATGGCCTTACACAAGTCACAATGTGCTTCTGGCATTTTTTCAATAAAGTCATTCAGTTTTGACTAATTTATATAATCATATTTCACCATGAGAGCCTGATAATTGGTGATGCGGAATTGTAGAGTGGCTGAAGAGTATGCTTTTCTACCAAAAAGGTCAAAATGCTTCTAATTCCTATCATAGAGAGTAGCCCTTGACTGGTGTTGTCAGCTGCAGGAGTTGACGGCATCTACCACAATGGAGTTGGATGGTGTGTGGGAAAATAGGAATTCAGATTCGTTGGCAGGGACATAGTATTTGTTGTCCTGCTATTTGTAGGTTGGTGCCACTGAGGTTCAGGTTTGCCACGCTGTCTTTAGCGGGTCTAAAATGGCCTCATTAATCGGGAGGGCGATCTTTGATGAGGACAAAGAGTAGAGGATGTCAAGGAATTGATGGTATCTGGAGGGTATCTGGCACTGTCTTTGCCAGCTCCTGGAAGGGATGGAAGTCGTCTGCCAAAGATGGTGGCAGAGGCATGACAACTTCATCCAGAGAGGAAGAAGATATAGTCCTCAGTGTTATTTCCTCCTTGGTACCAGTTTCCTGTTTCTCTATTTCTTGAGGTGATTCTGAAGCCTTGGATGCTGCAGCCGAGGGAATTTTCCCCCAGGGCTCCTAGGTGAGGCTCAAAGTCCGAGAGGCTTGCTGGCAGTGCACTGCCCAAGGGTCCAATGTGACCACTGGGGTTGTGGTGGTATAGGGCCTGGTGGTGGCACCCATGGGTGGCCATACCAAGATGATGGTGCGGAGGCCATCTGTGGCTGTATCCTTCGGCTCTCTTGGTAATAAGCACCATATGGAGCTTGGGAGGAGTACTGTGACACTACCTCCTTTGGCTCACCGTCTGAATGCTCACTAGAGAGCAGAGGGACATGGCATGGCAGTGGGGATATTTCCGATATTTGAGGCTCAGTGCTGAGGTTCTGGTTCTGAGAAGTGGAGATTCTGGTGCATCTGGCATACGGAGATCTCTGGAGTGGTGGGATTCTGATGTTAATGATCATCCCAGTGGCAGTAGTGGTGCTGGCGGGGACGGGGACCTTTTCCACACTGGTCATTACGCTGCCAGGTGAGGCCTCAATGGCGGTACGGATGTAGGATCGCATACCAGTTTCTTCTTAGAGAAGTGGTTGCTACTGTCTTTGTCCCTCGGTGCCATTGACTCAGTGCTCATGCCCCTCGGGTCCATAGGCTTTTCAGTTCTGTAGGGTACCTGCTACTGAGAATTGCCATGAGCCGTGGGTACCAGATTGAGATGGTTTCGGTGTCAGTGGTACCGAGGATACTGAGCATGCCAGTTAACAACTATGGCTACCTTGGAGCTCACTATGGGGACTTCCCACTCCCTTTTTCAATGATTTGTTAGAAGGGTCCTTGGCTTGTTTCTTCAATAAACTGCCTTTAGTTGTTGAGGGCTGTGGGGAAGACTCACGTCTGCCAGGTGATTCGTTGCACGGGTCCAGAGAGGATTTGAGAGCGGCCTCCATGAAGACTATCTTCTCTTGAACTCCCTATCCTTATGAAACCAGGGACTGAATTGCTGGCAAAGACCATCCTTTTGTGGAATGTGGCCTTCCCTGAAGCAGCGAATAGCGAAAACCCTTGGAGTGCTTGTCTGAGACAGGGATTGCCTCTTTGCAAGAGAGGCACTTCTTGAAGCCCGGTGAGCCAGGCATACCCCGTTGGGGGAGGGGTCCTAAACGAGGAAAAAGGTGGGAAAGAAACTAAATCTTCTTTTCTTTTCTTTTTTAAAGGGTAAAAGAAGAAAAGAAGAAGATGAAACTACAGCTAGAACTACAACTAAGAACTAGGAGGGTAACTAACTATAGAAATGCAGATTCAAGGTTCCTTCCACACTCTGAACTCTAGGGCACAGATGTGGGGACCTGCATGAAAGACCCCCTAAGCTTATTCTTACCAGCTTAGGTTAAACGCTGCCACCACCGAAGTGTTACACAAAGAACAGGGGAAGTGCCCACTTGGAAACGTCTCCCCCCTAGAATATCCCCCCAAGCACTACACCCCCTTTCCTGGGGAAGGCTTGATAAAAATCCTCACCAATTTGCCTAGGTGAACACAGACCCAAACCCTTGGATCTTAAGAACAATGAAAAAACAATCAGGTTCTTAAAAGAAGAATTTTAATTAAAGAAAAAAGTAAAAGAATCACCTCTGTAAAATCAGGATGGTAAATACCTTACAGGGTAATCAGATTCAAAACATAGAGAATCCCTCTAGGCAAAACCTTAAGTTACAAAAAGACACAAAACCAGGAATATACATTCCATTCAGCACAACTTATTTTATCAGCCATTTTAACAAAACAGAATCTAACGCATATCCAACTAGATTGCTTACTAACTCTTTACAGGAGTTCTGACCTGCATTCCTGCTCTGGTCCTGGCAAAAGCAACACACAGACAGAGAGAACCTTTGTTTCTCCCCCCAGACCAGCTTTGAAAGTATCTCGTCTCCTCATTGGTCATTTTGGTCAGGTGCCAGCGAGGTTATCTTAGCTTCTTAACCATTTACAGGTGAAAGGGTTTTTCCTCTGGCCAGGAGGGATTTAAAGGTGTTTACCCTTCCCTTTATATTTATGACATGGGTTACCCAGTTTCTGCGTATCACATGGCTGATCTGGGACAATGTTATAAAAGGAAAGGAGAATGTGGTGACAAAGAGACTGTCTGTGGGGAAAGGTGTGTACACTCCCCAAAGGTGTGTACACTCCCCAGCTGGCTAAAGCTGGTAAGGACTTTGGTGTCAATTACTGCATAGTTTAAATTGATTTGTCCTGGTTTTGAGTTTTTGTGTTTGGAAATCAAGCAAGTCATGACGAAAAGGATGTGAAGTAACCTGTCACTAAGATTTCTATTTTTCCCTCCCTGGCTGGTAAATCTGTATATTGGTTTATAAAACTTGTTTTACTGGCACTGTCAGGTGTTTGTCATTAGGGCTTTCTGGATATGTGGAAGGGGAAGAAAAAGGCAAAAAACCAAAAGGAAGGCTTATAAAAGAGTTACTAAAACAAGAGATGATGAGAACTGGCCAGCAAAGGAAAAATGAAATCCTTCCCAACACTATGCAGTTTCTGCTTTTCTATCAAAACCCTTTTAGAAATTGTTAGACAAGTTCTGTTCAGAAGTTTCCTCCTTTTTTTTCTGCATGTACATTCTATAAACCTAATGCAGCATGTTGTAAGAAGCACATGAGATGCTGCACGTAAGACCTTACCCAAAACCCGCTGAAGTCAATGGGAGTCAACGGACTTTGAATCAGTTCCAAAGTTTCTGTACTGTGACAGAAAGCAAATTTCTGAGTTCTTGTCAGTGATTTCCATATAGACATAACTAAGCCTATGTTTTAGTCCTGGGTATTTTTAGTAAAAGTCATGGAGAGGTCACAGGCAGTAAACAAAAATATTAGAATGGCCTTTGAAAATGTAGATGAGCTCTCCATGACTTGTACTATATACCCTTAACTAACACTTGGGCCGGGGAGGTGCGGGTGCTCAGAGTGGAGCGGTCCAGGGGTGCTGTGTGTGCTGGGAGGATGGCTCAGGACCCCTGCTGGTGCTGTGGGGAGGCGGGCAGTGGCCTGGGACCCCCACTGGTGCTGGAGGGGAGGGTTGACGAGGCTGGCAGGCTCCCTACCCAGCTCCGCACAGCTCCCTGGAAGTGGCCAACATGTCCCTACAGCTCCTTGGGGGAGGAAAGGCCAGGGGGGCTCCGCACACTGCCCTCACCATAAGCTCTGGCTCCACAGCTCCCATTGGCTGGGAACTGCAGCCAATGGGAGTTGTGGGGGTGGTGCCTGCAGGCAAGCGCTGCATACAGAGCCCTCTGGCCCCTCTGCCTAGGAGCTGCAGGGGCATGCTACCCGCTTCCGGGGAGGCCCCCTGAGGTAAGCACTGCCCTGCCCCCCAACCCACTGCCCCAGCCTTGAGCCCCTCCCACACCCAAACTGCTGCTGCAGGGCCCCCCAGTGGTGGCCTGAAACTGCCCCAGCAGTGGCCAGTGCGGCTGGCCCAAGTGCTGCTTGATATGCTTGGACAGTCCCAGAGCCATCCACACCAGCTGCTGCAGAAGTCACAGAGGTCACGGAATCCATGATTTCCGTGACCTCTGTGACAGACATGCAGCCTTAGACATAACCTCTTTTATTTTATTTTTTGTGCTCTAATATTGCTTAGACAGAGTGGAGTAAATCTGATGGAGATGGTATTATTTAATTTGTTGCCATTCTGTTGTTGCTCTAGCTAAGACATTGACTTTTAAAATTTCCAGTAATTATTTTCCTGGCAAAATCATATGTGTTGGAATTATGAACCTATAAATCATTACCATATTCTTCTTGACAAAACACTGTGACACTATTTGCCATTTTGTAGCTTTTCTCTGACACCTCTCTCATCCCTATCTGGTAAGAACATTCTACCTTGTTTGCAGCCTAAAGCTTAGTAACAATACAGAATGCAGCATCATTTGCAAAGCAAACATCCAAAGGAGAAAATGGAATAAGAAAAAAATCACAAAAAAAGAAATGAGCAAGAAGAGGAATGGAATGTCACTTTCTTTCATACTTCAGACTTATATCTGAGCTGAGGAAAATACTCCCATAAGCCAAGGCTGAATAGAAATGCATTGTAAGAGACTCTCTGAAGAGGCATTTAGATAGCGACTAAGATAAATGCAAACAAATCAAATTGCAAAGCAATATTTTCAATTTTTTAGGAAAACACAGCCATAAGTTTTCCTTTCAGCTTTCATCAAATATTAACCATAGGCCATCTGCAGCTGGAGACCTACTGTAGCTGAGTCTTTAATGGCAATTTAAAACAGCTTTATATTGTACACAACTGTATTCTTGGATCTATAACTTTTATTGAGCCAAGTGTTTAAAGAGGTCTCAATGAGGCACTAGTGTTGTGCCTGCAATCAACTGTTGGTGCAGTTAATTGTGGGTGCACCTGAGAGCAGTTAGTTGTCAGGCCAAAGGTTAACTGGACCCGCAATTGACAGCAGTGTATAAAGATCTTACAAATGTAAGATTAAGGATTGTTCTTCAAATTTGCCCCAGTCACTATAGTTTGATTTATGTATTTATATGGTCATCATCGCTGTAGTATCTGAGCATGTCATAATTGTTGGGTCGGTGCCAAATTATTATTGTGAATTGCTGTGATTGATATGAATGAATGTGGTGAACATGAGTTTGGTATGGCTTGATATGTTTGAATTTGCTAGAGGATTCTGGGAACAGGGTTCTCTTAGCATCATACAGTTTGTATGGAAATTTATTGCAAGTGCTGAAACCGCACTTGAATGGTTAATCAAAGGTTCTATCTGTGTGTATGCGTGTGTGTGTGTGTGTGTGTCTTAGTTAAAACTTTGGTCAGCTGACAGCCAGCTCACAAAAGTAAAGAAAATGCAGAAGACACGCGATCAGTGAGCTTGGTACAGAATGACCCAGGTCAAAATGAGCCTTTAGGGAAACACCATACTAAGAACTTAAGTGAATGACTAATGAGAGGATAAACCTCAACTGATCTTTGGTCTCCATCCATTTTACAGCCCCCTTCTAAAATATTAATTAGAAAAACCAGTAATGGAATGCTCACAGGACATATTTCTGAGACATGTGACTCCTTTGAGAACAAGAGGTATAAATGCTAAGCAGAGTTAGTCAGTTAGTTAACATCTGAAGAGATCTGTGATGCTGTAAGATAGAGGGCCTCAGGTTAACCAAGACCCTGCTTCAGGGGACATTTGACAGACCAAGTACTTGAGAGGGGAAGAGAAGAGAAGAAAAGAAGTCTCCATCTAGGACTGGTAGCTATACCTGCTTTGTTTGCTAATCAGGATACTGTGTAAGGCCAACATAGTTACTGGAGGTTTATGCTTGGGGAATTGAGGCTTATTAGGGAGATGTATTATATAAACTTTTAGTGCTTGTGTGATTCTTTCTCAAATAAACTGCTGTGCATTGAGCAAATTGAATCCTAATTTTCACTGGTACCAGTAAAAATCTGCCCAGCTGTGGGCAGATCTGTTTCAACAAATAATCACTGATGAATTTTATCTGCACAACAACCCATGAGCTACAGAAGTATTATCAGTCACATTTTTCTGATCGAGAAACTGAGGCAATATGATTGAAGAGTTGCCCAAGGTCCATAGTACGCCCACACCTTGAATACTGTGTGCAGTGCTGATGGCCCCATATCAGAAAAATATATATTAGAATTGGAAAAGGTGCAGAGAAGGGCAACAAAATTATTAGGGCTATGGAACAGCGTCCATGTGAGGAGAGATTAAAAGGACTGGGAGTGTTCATCTTAAAGAAGAGGTGGCTAAAGGGGGATATGATAGAGTTCTATAAACTCAGGAATAGCATGGAGAAAGTGAATAGGAAAGTGTTAGTTACCCCTTCACATAACACAAGAACCAGGGGTCATCTGATGAAATTACTAGGCAGCAAGTTTAAAGCAAAGAAAAATCTACATTTTCATGCAATGCACAACCTGTGGAACTTATTGCAATGTGATATTTTAAGGCCAGAAGTATAACTGGGTTCAGAAAATAATTAGATAAGTTTATGGAGAAAATGTCCATCAATGGCTATTAGCCAAGATGGTCATGGATGTAACCCGATGCGCTGGGTCAGGGCCGGCCTTACCATGAGGCAAACTGAGGCAGCCACCTCAGGTGCCAGACTGTGGGGGGGTGCCACTAGGACCCAGAGTGGAGAAAATTGTGACTGCTGCTGGTGCATATGTATTCTCTTTGCTCTAGATACACAGAGATGGTCAAGTGCTGTGCTTGAGGAAGGAGGGCACAAGAGACATAACAGGCAGGCAGTGGAAAAGGTGAGAGGGAATAACAGAAAACAGCACGCTCTGCAGGGAGAGACAGGAGGAGGAGCCTCTTATGTACCTCTTTAGCACCCCCAGGAGCCTGGATTGATTAACACCAGCATCTCAGGGAGCTTCCTGTTTCCTGCTGCTTCCCTGAACCCACTTGAGGAGAACAGGCAGTCAACTGAAGGAGTAGGAGCCAGTTAGGCCCTTAGACGCTGATATCTTCCCTCACTCATGCCCTGCTACCAGCCTGCTTATTTGTCCCCTTCAACTGAGTGTTGAGAGCCACTATAGCTGGCATAGAACAGCAGTCATGAGTGAAAGAAGAAAATGCCCCTCTGGGGCAGCGTTCAGAAAAAGAAAGAAAGCAAAGGAAGCTTTCCTATCTAAGCAGGAAGAAGCTCTCCCGAGATACATAGACAGAAATGTTCACAGTGAGCCTTCCGGCCCCAGTGAGGATGTGAGTAGTGAGGAGATGCCTGATCTTCTAGTTAGTCAGAGTGCAGGAGACCTGGAAGCTACTGCAGCATCCATATCTCCATCTCAAATGGATGTAACCATGCACATTCCTGAAGAAAAGTGTAGATCAGAGAAGAGTGTGGTAGAGGTACAAGAAACAGCTCTTGCTGAGTTTAGTTCCTTAAGTCGAGATGATCCAGGACTGTGGACCCACTTGAGCAGTAGCCTGAGGGTCTTCCTTGTACTGCATAAGCCACAGCAAGTGAAAAACATCATGTTCTCCAAAGACAATGAAAATAGAAGTTTCCATCCAACACATTACAGGAGTGAAATCCTCAATGATGACAAAGTGGAGAGGCCATGGCTTATGTCCTCAAAAACTCAGAATGCTGCATACTGTTTTTGTTGCAAACTCTTCCAGTCTAATGTTCCAGCCACATTGGGTTCTACAGGAACAAAGGACTGGAAAAATCTGGCTAAAAATCTGGCATGCCATGAGAAGGCAGCAAATCACCAGAGAGCATTCCATAGGTGGAAAGAGCTTGAGATGAGACTAATGTTAAAGGCCACCATAGATGATCAGCATCAAGAGAAGATTGCATCAGAGTCTCTTTACTGGCAAAATGTTCTGAAAAGATTCATTGCCATTGTGAGAATGCTTGCTACCCAAAACCTAGCACTGCATGCCACTTCAGATCAGCTGAATGTGCCAAACAATGGAAACCTCCTTAAAATTGTGGAGCTGATGGCGGAGTTTGATGCTGTACTCCAGGAGCATCTAAGAAGGGTCACCACCCAAGAAATGTACGCACACCACTACCTTGGAAAAACAGTTCAAAATGAGATCATACAGTTACTGGCAACAAATGCCAAACAGAAGATCGTGGCAGATCTGAAGTCAGCAAGATAATACTCTGTTATTCTGGACTGCACACCTGACATCAGCATATGGAACAAATGATTTTAATGGTGCGTTTTGTAACAACAACAGAACCTAGTGAAAGTGTCCCTGCAATGGTGACTGTCAGAGAGCATTTTCTAGAATTTATTGACATTGATGATACTACATGAGCTGGTATGACAAATGTGCTTCTTAAAAAGCTGGGAGATACAGTAATTGTGATAGCTGATATGAGAGGTCAGGGCTACGATAATAGTGCCAACATGAGAGGAAAGAACAGAGGAGTGCAGAGACAGATCCATGAGTTAAACCCTCAAGCTTTTTTTGGCCCGTGCAGTTCTCATTCATTGAACTTGGTGGTCAGTGATGCAGCATCAGCTTCTGGTGAGGCTGCTGAATTTTTTAATGTAATTCAAAGCATCTATGTATTTTTCTCTGCATCAACTCATCGATGGCAAATTTTGAAGCAACATCTGGGAACATCCTCTCTGACACTGAAACTACTGAGTGCCACATGATGGGAAAGTCAAGTGGAGGAGATAAAGCCTATCAAACCCCAAATTGGGAAGATCGAGGATGCCATAGTTGCCATTATGGAGGATAATGTTATGACAGGAACTATTCATGGGAGAACAGTGGCAGAGGGAAATGGAATCACCAGAAACATACATAACTTCAAATTTCTGTGTGGCTTAGTGTTGGGGCATGACATACTGTTTGAAATAAATGTTGTAAGCAAGAGACTCTAAGGTGTTGACCTTGGTATATCTGGAGCAATGGAACAACTGGACAAAGCAAAGTCATACCTACAGTCTTACTGGTCAGATGAGGGATTTCAAAATGTTCTGAAGCATGCACAGAAGTTGGCAGAGGAACTTCACACTGAAACTGTTTTCCCACCCATTCAGGAATACAAAAGTCACCGAAGAAGAAGACATTTTGATTACGAGGCACTGGATAATCCCATGAGATCCCAAGCAACAATTCAAAGTTGAATTCTTTAACCAGGTGCTAGATTGTGCAATACAGTCAGTTGAAGAATGTTTCATGCAGCAGTATATTTGGGATGTCGTATGATATTCCAAAACTCCTCATTATACCTGAAGAAGACCTATACCAGCAATGCAGGGCACTATGGACAGTGTTGACACATGATGACATGCGTGATATTGATGCGAATGATTTAGGTGATGAACTGAAAGCCCTTTCAAGACACATTTCAGCAGGATCAACTCCAAAGGCTGTTCTGGAATATATGTGCACAGACAAGATGACCACCCTCTTTCCAAATGCTTTTGTTGCTCTGCGCGTACTTCTAACACTTCCTGTAACAGCTGCAAGTGGAGAAAGCAGCTTCTCCAAGCTGAAGTTAATAAAAACACATCTATGCTCCACAATGACACAGGAGAGGCTGATCGGCCTTGCAACCATCTCAGTAGAGCATGACCTGGCCCAGACTGTGGACCGTCAGGAAGCAGTTCAGATCTTTGCAACCAGGAAGGCATGGAAAGCACAACTTTGATTATTCAAACAGATTAAAATGCCAGTGTTTACGATGCAGACAAGAAAATTTATAGTTGCTGTTCAGGCATTTGAAAGTTAAGTGTTACTTAAAATTTTTGAACAAGGCATTTTAAGTTGTTAGTTCTCCTTTATTGGGGTAGGTAGCAGAGCAGTACCATGAAAGGAGTAGAACAGGAAGAAGGCAGAATTGAGACCTTTCAAAGTTTTGGCCCAAGCAAGGGGGAATGGGGGCATCATTTGAGCGCCCCGTCTCAGGTGCCAAAATGTTGTGGGCCGGCCCTGCTGTGGGTGTCCCTAAACCTCTGACTGCCAGAAAATGGGACTGGCTGAGAGGGGATGGGTCACTTGAAATTGATCCCTTGATACTAGGCTAGATTAACCATTGGTCTGACCTAATATGGTTGTTCTTATGTTTATATTCTCATGTCATGGAGGAAGCCTGAGACAGACCTGGGAATTGAGGTCTCTGGAAACTCCGATTCCATTGTCTTAAACACAAGTCCATCCATCCTTATAATTATTGCAGACTTACTAAAGACCCTGAGTGGGATTTTTACAAATTCTCTGTATTGGTCTAACTCTACTCTTATTAAAGTCAATGGGACCTTTGCTCTTCACTTCTACAGGTGCAGAGTTAGGCTACTGAGCACTTTTAAAAATAATCCCACCATCTCATTAATATTATAGCAGATTAATTAAACAGCTTGTTCTCCTATTTTTAACTTTCAGTGAAGGTATGTGAGTAAAACATAAATTACTCTAAACCATTCATCAAATATATGAGAAAAATACAAAACCATATTTTAATATATTTTGAAGTTCATCACACTGCATAAAATAAACTTGCCAAGATTTGGAAAGACCCAGCCACCCAGCTGATGAAGGAACCACAGGACAGCTTGCTTTCATGCTCAGTCCTAAAGGAGAAAAACACCCTTTTAAGAGATGGTAAACTAAGCTTATTTTCTCAGCTCTGGGAAACCTTGCAATATATTCTGTCATAGGCTACGCCCACGCTACAAGCTAGGGGTGCGATTCCCCTGCTCATGTGTACATATTCACACGACCTCTCGTCGAGCCAGTGTGAGCATAACCAGCAGGATTGCTGCGGAGCATGGGTAGTGGTGGTGCAGACAAGGCTGAACCATGCCACTTACGTACCCACCAGTTTCTGGGAGATTTGTACTGAGCACAGTGCCTCCGCTGTCACTGCCAGTGCTACTGTGGCTGCCTGTGCTCCCTTGATGAATGCTAGCACGAGTAGGAGTACGTGAGCAGGGGACTGACAGCTCTAGTTCAGAGTGTAGACATGACTTTAAAGGCCAGTACAGAAATATATTGTTACCCTTCCAGACCACACTCCTTCAATTGATGCAGACTTAGGGTACTTCCCACTCACCTGCCTTGTCCCTCTTTTCTCACCTATTC